CGAGTTGGCCAAGTTCGTCCCCACTGTGCCCACAGCCCTGCCTGTGTCCTGCCTTCTGCTCCCTGGCTGGAGGGGGGCCTTGAATAGACCAGTGTTCTCACAGGGTGAGGAAGAACGAGAGAAGGGCTCCCTCCCCCCTCTTCCATTTCTGTCTGAGGCAGGGAGGCACGGTCAGCTGATCAGCCTCGCGGTGGCTAGTTGCCAAGCTGCTGGGAGTGGTCACGTAGAGCCTCTCTGGACTCCAGCCCAGTCATGGGGCGCTGGTCTGGGGTTGGGGCACTCCCGGTTTCCTGCTTTTGGAAAGCCATGAGTAAATGGGTACTCCTTCTGCTGGGAGTTTGGGGGAAAGGAGGGAGGTATCTGTGAACGGCGTCTGCTCACACCTCCTCCTCGCTCCTGTCCCCTTACAGGCTGTGTAACTACTTATTTTGAAGTCTGGTGTTTTATCAGAATTTTTTCAAAGACACACAGGCTTCCTGCTCCTCAGACCTCACTTTCAGCTGGCTGTGAGAAGAGGTTTTAAGGAGATAACTATTGTTTCAATTCTGAGAAAACACCAGAGACTTGGTAATAAGTAGTTATACATTTTTACTGATTTCTATCTTGGTAATCCTTCCTTCAAATGAAGAAAACCAAAATTTTTTTCATGTATAATTTTTTCCATTTTCTGCATCAAACAGCAACCTTATTGATCTCCCCCAGTGATGATTTAGGTTGAGCATGTCAAATTCGAGGCCCACGGGCCCGCATGCCTTATTTATTTGCTTCATGTTAGCCTTTGAGTTTGACATGCTTGCTTTAGGTCATTTAAAAAGCCATGTTTCATTTGAGTGAGAGAGTGCATAGTTTAACTTTTCTTCAAACGTTTTTCTCTGTCTTATCCATTTACCTTTCTCAATACGGACTCCACAGCTTGCTGAAACATTTGTGAGGATTTTGGAGAAACAAGGGGCCCTTAAAAGTTGTCTCTTCTGCAGGTGCCCGGTTAGCTCAGTCGGTAGAGCATGAGACTCTTAAAAGTTGTCTCTTCTCTCATTTCCTTTCTGTGGGCTGGACACCCACCTTCCTCTTTGCTTTGAGCTTGGCTCACCACTAGATGTGGCCGAGGCCCCACCAGGAGAGATGGCAGAGGGTTCCACTACACAGAACCAAACAACCGTTCCTAACAACAGAACCCCAACACCGCCAACCTCTGACCTGTAGAAATTAGTAAATGCAGTATTGTGTGCTGCGGACAACCCTGCCCCCTCCTGGCCTGTCTCTCCCCGCGTCACTGCATCCCGAGTGCTTACTAGCCTGATGGTCTCATCCTGGTGGTGCTCCTTGTCCCACCCACTCCCCTCCAGGATTCAAAGGTAGATTTCCCTTCCCTTCACAATACCTGCTCAGCATCTACCCAAGACCCCCGCGAGACTCTTCCATTATCTTGGGCGAAGGCAGCTAGAAGGCAACCATCAAGCTAGTCCAGCCTCGGTCCTCCCTTCCCCCGAGGCTGCATGCCTGACGCAGGTGTGGGGCCTGACTGGTGAGTGCCTCCAGGTGCATTTTCCTCATGTTCTGGGACCTGTGCGCTCCTGCTGCCAGGCCTTAGGCTCCCTGAGCACGGCATTCAAAACTGTGCAGGAACTGACTCCAGTGCATCCAAATCCCACAGCTCAGGTTTCTCCCTGCCTGGGCTTCTCACCTTTCAAACAGGAAGCTTTTTGTGCGGACACACAGGCTTCCTGCTCCTCAGACCTCGCTTTTCAGCTGGCTGTGGGAAGAGGTTGTAAGGAGATAACTATGAAAGGAGTAGGTCTACTCCTAGCAAAACAAAACAGGGCGTCTCCTCCACCAATTAGAGTTGGGTTTGTCCTGGCTCACAGCATGTGAGAACAGAAGAGGGGAGAGGTCAGTGGCTCTCGAACCTTCATGGAAACTGGAAAAGCAGTCCCTGCCCCTGAGGGATGCTCTCCAGTGGCAGGAGGTGAGCCCACGTTTAACCAATGCCCCACAGGTGGTTCCTGTCACCTGATTTATCTCTTTAAGCCTTGATTGATTTAAATGTTCCCAGTCTACTTCCCTGAGATTGAAATGAATATTCAGGAGAGAGGTGAAAGTGCTTTGGAGAAATAGTACAGGTGGAGAGGTATGCTCCTAGCTCCAAGAGTCCGGTCTCCAAACTTTGGCTCAAGCTCCCCTATCGTGCCTCTCTAGCATATGGAGAGTATTATTCTATTACTAGTGTCCCAGTGCATTGATTCATGCACATTGAAAGGAAATTAATTAGAAGAAATATTTTAATGTCTATTTGTGTCTTGCTAATGAAAATAGGATTCTCTTGAGACTTATACCTACCTGTGAGAATCAAATGAGATGAGGCATTGGAAAAAGCATCACAAACATTTGGTTAAATTGTAAAATGTTTGCACCTGGCTATAAAGCAAGTCGTGTTCCTGGGCTGAAGAAACTCCAAGGAGGCTAGTCCCTAGGGAGATGAAGCCAGGTGTTGCTATGTGACATCATTATCCAGCATCCACTGACTTTCTGGGCTGGGGGCAAATTTTGTGCCATGGGGTCTTGGCAGTGTCAGCTGCGATTTGGTGGGGTGTCGCTCTGGGGTGGTGATAGGGCCTGTGTTTCACTTGGGGGAAGCTGAGTGTTAGTTTGTTGGCACCAGCTCCATGGTACCATTTATTTTTAAATGGCCAGTGCGTGTCATGGTAGCTCCTGTGTTGATCGTCTGCCCCCTGGTGGTCAGTGCTCGTCATAGCTACCTGTCAGACACAGCCTTTTATATATCTAGCTTAGCTGATTGGTGGTAAATCACATTTCCCTCCCTCCCTACTAATGTCTCATTCAGGAGGCTTGGGAATCCACGCTTTAACAAAGACCAGCCAGCAAAACTCAAATGGAGCCACATTTGAGGACTTAAACATTCTGTTAAACAACAACAACAAAATTACAACACTTATTAAGGGACAGTAAGGCAAACTATTCAAGGGGGCTACTACAGTGGGGTTTTGTATTGGGGGAGAGATTGGGCCCAACTCCAATGCCATAGAGAAAAGCGGGAATTTATAGCCAAGGAGCAGGTTTGGGGGTCAGTGGATGGAAAATTACTAGGAGGAGGTAAAGGTGGATTCTGGCTAAACCGACCGGCACTGACCTAACGGGATTCTTGCCCAAGGCAATCCGGGTGATCAGACATCACCTGGGGGGCGGGTAGTGGAGGATCAGGAACCTCATCAGCTTTTAGGGTGATCAAATATCGAGGGTAGGGGCCTTTGGCCAAACCAACCTAGCAGGATTCTTGCTAAAACTGGACAATGTGGAGATGAACACGGAAGCCCAAATGTCAGGGCCTAGTGGAGAGTTCAGCAGAGCCCGATCGGAGTTTGGTCAAGGGGGGACTGTCAGGACCCCGGACAGCGGGCCGGCTTCCTGCATTCGCGCTGACACCGCGAGCTGCCTGCAGGGGGCGCGCCTGGGCTTCCGCGCTCGCGGACAGGAACCGGAAGTGCGGAGAGCGTGCGGGCGCCGGGAGGCTGAGACGCGAGGTGCGTGCGGGCCAAAGCCGGACCCCACGACCACCCTAATCCGCCTGCCGAGCCGGTCCCGGGAGCGGGGCGGGGACGGGGCGGGGGCGGGGTCCCCGGGAGCGAGGCAGGCTGGAGCCGGTGCGGCTCCTCTGCTCGCCGCGCAGCCCGCCTTTCCCCTCGCGAGCGCGGCCTCTGTGCTCGGGGTCCGGAGCCTGCAGGACTTGGCTGCAGCTTCCAAGATTTGTGTGACTTTGTGGAACTTGCTGGGCCTCGGTTCCCCGCCTGTGAAACGGGCTTCTGAGCTCTGCCTCGGGCCGATCAGCGGCTCTGCTCTGCGCGGACTGGCGGCCCGCGGTGCTCGGGCGGGAGTGACTGATGCCCGCTGGCTGTAGACAGAAGCGAGCCCCTGGCAGAGGGCCGGTTAGGGTGATGTCCGGCCATTGCTTTTCTGACGTGGTGATCAGCCTTCTAGACGAGCAGGAAACGATCAGGCCTGCTTCGGAGCGGAACCTCCTCCTCTGGGCGACGGCCCCTCCAGGGCAGTCCCCGCGGTCCGGAGGGGGAGTGCGGCCCTCCCAGGGGGAGCTGCTCCCAGGGGGAGGGAGCTGCTCCCAGGGGGAGCTGCTCCCAGGGGGAGGGAGCTGCTCCCAGGGGGAGGGAGCTGCTCCCAGGGGGAGGGAGCTGCTCCCAGGGGGAGGTGCTCCCAGGGGGAGCTGCTCCCAGGGGGAGAGAGGTGCTCCCAGGGGGAGGGAGCAGCTTCCCAGCAGAAGGAGCAGCTCCAGCTGGCTGCGCCGGGGAAGGCAGACTCCTGAGCCTTCGGGTGGGTCACGGGATGGGGGAGGGTGCAGGGTGGGAAAAGACTTGGGGCCGAGGTGGAATCCACTCGGGGAGGCAGCGGAGGCCAAGTTAGCTGGGGCTGGTGGGCCCTTCTGGACCTCACTTCCGAAGCGGGCCCTGTTGCCCCTGAGCCCTAAATGGTCAGAAGCAGCTCTGGGTTGAGGGAGGAGTTGCTGGCCAACGCAACCTTATTGTGAATCAAATGGCCTCAGGGTTTCTTGTAAGCACACCAAGAGAGAGGGAGTGAGGAGCCCAGAGAGATCACTGGGAGACACTTTAGGGGTAGGATAGACGGGGCACCCTGGGCACCGTGAGCTCCTGGGGTGTCCAGGAGGGCGGCACCTCCTTTCGCCTTCCTCCCGGGAGGGTGTTCATCCCTCTTCACAGTCAGAGGCTCAGCAGGAGGCATTTCTGTTGGGCCCGCTGTTGTGGAGTCTGGGGCTGCCCTGCCACACCTCCCTGAGGCCCTGCTCGCCAGCCGGGCCACCTGTGAGCATATTAGAATTCACTGGGCTCTGTTCTTTGTAGGAATCAAAGCTTGACTCCCATTCAAGGACAAGCAGACCTACAGTTCCTGGTGCGAGGAGAAAGTGGGCTTTGCTGTCCCGGGTCAGAAAAGCAAGCCCGGAAGCGCCGAGGGAGATGGCAGCCTCCCATTCTGGGGATAAAAAGAGGGTCCTTCCCCCCTGGATGACAGCCCAGCAGCCCGAGGAGAGAATGCCCCCGATGAAGACCCCGAAGAGGAGGAAGGCAGCGGTGCCGGCCCCTGCAGCCAGGTGGGACACCCTTGAGCCAGGGCCATCCCGGGGCTGGCAGAACCATGAGGCGGGCGGGCAGGCAGGCAGGCGCTTCAGTCCGTCTCTTCAGCTCTCAGGAGGCGCACGGGCTGCATGCAGGAGGCTGAGTGAGCTGTGCGCTTACCCAGGCAGACGCCGCTGCCTCTTGGTGAACCTGCAACTCTCAAATAGTGACCCCCATTTCCCCCCATCCACCCCAGCTTCTCGGGGTTGCACGCATCAGCCAAGCTGTCAGACACCAGAGGTCTAAAATGCCCCCCCCTTCATTTGCAACAATAAGTGTGGCCATCAAGTGGGCAAGCCAAGTGGGCCAGGCCATCAGTCCTCCTGTGGGCAGATCTCCTGGGACAGGAGCAGCGAGCCCTCGAGTCAGCCTGGACCAGAGGCTGTGGGTGAGCAGGTGGATGAGCTAGTCCTGAGGAGATGTCCCTGAACTCTCCGGACGGGTACCGTGTGCTCAGTGCTGCCCCCCCCTGCTCTTCCTCTTACGAGGTTTCTTACCTGACCAGCCTCCCTCTCTGCCTGGCACAGCCTTCCCGTCCTGTGTCCACGCATTCAGTTAGGTGTCAGGTGGGTTTGGCCTGGGGGTCCATTTGACCTGCCCATGCGTGTGTCAGTTTGGCTCTCGGGAGTAGCCATCAAGCCTTATTTCTAAATCCCTGGGGGAGCTGGCAGAGTTGGGAAGCCCCCACTGTTCCTTCCAAGGACAACTCCCCCCCCCCCCCCCCCCCCGATAGTCACTGGTCCCAAGAATGAGGAAGCCCGTTGATGCCCTGAGGAAGCTGGTGCTCTCATCCTGGCGCAAGGCCCCGGATGGAGCTCTCCTTCCTCCCCGGGAGACGGGAGAGCCGCCTGCCTGCCTGCCCCCTCTTAGCGGGCGCCTTTCTTTCAGACTCCCCGCCGTGAAGACTGTGTACTGCATGAGTGAAGCCGAGCTTGTTGACGTTGCCCTGGGGGTCCTGATTGAGGTAAAGTCAGCTGTGGCTTTTTTTAAAAACACGTTTTTATTTCAGAGAGAGGAGGGAAGAGAGGGAGAGAGAGAGAGAAGCATTGATGAGAGAGAAACATTAGCCGGCTGTCTCCTGTACGCCTCCTATTGAGGATCGAGCCGGCAATCCGGGCATGTCCCCCTGCGGGGAATCAACCAGCAGCCTTTCAGCGCATGGGATGATGCTCAGCCAGCTGAGCCACACCAGTTGGCTGCTGTTGCTCTTTTGACCACAAACGCTTTACAGGCTGAACCAGACTGGGCCCTTGGTCCGTGTCAGTAATTCTCGGACAGCCTCAGGGAGCCCTCTCACGTGTCCACCCTTCTCCCGCTTGCCCCGTGTCTCATGAATCTCTCGGGCCACGCTGCCCGCCGTGAGCTGTGCACAGCCACGCATTTGGGGCTGGCTGCCTGGGTGGGGTGGCCGGGCAGGGAGAGCGGCCCTGTGTGGGTGACTGTGCTGGGGTGCATGCAGCGGGGACAGGAGGTCCTGACCTGCTATTGTTCTCTGGAGGAGAACACTCTGTCTCCTGGCTCTGCAGGCCTGGCAGGACAGCACTGAGGACCCGTCTTCCTGAAGCAAGTAATGATCATACCGCGTTAGGGTTGGGTAGCTCTGTATAATAGACCAGTATTTTTTGTTTTGTTAATCCTCTCTCGAGGATATTCCCCTCCCCCCCCCCACACACACACATTGATTTTAGAGAGAGTGGAAGACGAGGGGGAACAGAGAAACATCGATTGGTTGCCTCCTCCACATGCCCTGACCAGGGCCAGAATGGAGCCTGCCACCTCAGTACATGCCCTTGACTGGACTCAAATCCGAGACCCTTCAGTCGGTGGGCCGATGGTCTGACCACTGAGCAACCGGCTAGGGCTGACCGGGTAATTTTATATGTCACTCTCTCATTTAATCCTTGCCATAACCTGGGGATATCGTTACTTCAAGATACTATTATTCCCATTTTACCGATGAAGAAGTTGAGGTGCAGGGACTCCCCTAAGTTGCATAGCCCGTAAGTGACAGTGTTCCTTCCGCTGTCACCCTGCCTCCCCAGACAACTTTTTGCGATGTATTTATTTTTCTTTCCTACTTCGGTATTCCTCAGGCCTCTGCCCCCTCCTCTCGGGTTGGTCTTGGATTCTCCCAGAGCCCTGGGAGCGGAGGGCGGGCAGGGGTAGGGGGGGCAGGAGGTGGAGCGGCCGCTGATGCGAAAGCCGTGCCCGACCTGGTCCGCGCTGGCTTCGCCGCTGCTTCTGGGCCTGGTCTCCGCCACGGGCCCGGCAGGGAGATGAATTTACACGTGTTTCATCTGGTCTTTCTCCAGAGCCGGAAACGGGGAAGGGCCTCGGAGCAGCGGCCCCCGGCAGGCACGGATGTGTCAGAGCCGCCCCCCACCTGCTCGGAGGGGCCGCCCTCTCCCGAGAGGAGTGAAAGTGAGGACAGCGGGGAAGCAGCCCTCCCCCCAGGCCCGGGGCCGCCCCAGGAGCCCGCAGGCTCGGAGCCTGCCTGCGGCACCAGCCCCGAGGAAGATGAGGACGCATTCAAGTACGTCAGGGAGATTTTCTTCAGCTAAGGGACTTTGTTCCGGGATAATCCAGAACGGAAACTCTGCCTGGGGACTGCGCCCAGCTCCACGCCCTTGGGCTCAGAGCCAGAAGCACATGACACTGGGCCTTGGGGAGTGAGGGATCCAAACGAGAGGAATTCTAGGAATTCTATCTCCCCCAGCACAGGGGTCTGTCTGTGTGTTCAGTGACCAGGCTCCTGGGGGAAAATGAGGTCGCAGGGTCAGACTGATTGGCACCGAGGAATCAGTTTAATACCTTTCAGACAGAAAAAAGGATGGCCGCCAAGTCCACCAGAATTGTCCCGTGTAGGCAGCCCCCTCTCCCCGTGCGGAGGAAGCCGAATGTAAAGTGTCCCTCACAGGCAGGCAGGCAGCCAGCCACTCTCATAGCCGCCCTCATCGCCCCGAAGCCATTCCGCCCCCAGTGCTCTGCTCTGCGAGCTCAGCGCTCCCGGGCACCTTTGGTCCAAGCCCTTCTCCCCACCAGACAGGCCTCCTCCCCTGAGCTGCCCCCTTCCTTCCACTTGGCGGCCTTGGCCACTCTGAAGGCTCCCGAAGTGGACGCGAGGACAGGAGGTCAGGGCGGGGTCTGCATCGCCTCTGCAGTCGGCGTGGCTCTCGGCAGGCAGGCAGGCAGACGGCCGTTGTACAGTCTTTTCAGTATTCAGCGCGGAAAGTACAGTTCCCCACGCACCAGTGGTGCTTGTTTCCTTCAGGTCTAAGTCCAGCTTGAGCAGTGAAGGGACGCAGCGTTTGTGGAACCATTCAGTCCTGTTCACCCTCCCTATCCCCCCCGCCCTCCACCCAGGTTTCAGAATGCTCTGCTCCCAGCTCCCTCGTTAGGAACCGCGTGCCAACTCACTCCCCTGCTGTCCGGCTTGGGGTCCGGCAGCCTTGCACAGGGGAACATCTCCCCTGTGCCTTTGGGAGGGGTGGGAAGGGGGAAGCTTGCTAACCAGGGCCCCGGGGACACTGAGGTGCTCTGTGTTCCCCATTTGTCGCCATGTGTGGCCAAACATCCTAGGGAAATGGCCGTGGGACGGGAACCCTTCTCCGGCCACCCTCCCGGGAAGGAAGTGAGAACAGTTTGCTCAGATCAGTTAAAAAGCAGGAGTTCCCGTGACAAGGAGAACAGCTAGCGGGTCCCAAAGGACAGACAAGCCGACACTGAGAAGCCCAGGGCCCAGGCCCCCTCACTGCCCCGGCCGCCCCCGTGCCGGGAGCCCCTGCCTCAGGGGGGCCCATCTGCTCACGCCTGAGGTCAGTATTAGCTACGAAGCAGGGAGGCTGCGGAAACACCAGCCCGGGAGTCCCCTGGCGCCTGTCCGAGGCTCCTTCCACCAGCCCCGGGAGCCTCCGGGGGTCAGGGCTAGCAGCTGTCCAGCTTGCTCTTGGCATCTTCTTCTGCCCTCTGGGGGAACATGACTGTGGCCATCAGCAGAAGGACGAGCAAGGCCTGAGCAGCAGCCAGAGCCAGGAATCCGGGCCCCAGGAGGGCGGGCGTGACCCACCTCCAGGTGTAGGCGAGGAAGAGGCCCAGGCCGCCGGCCAGCAGCGTGGAGGCCAGCGCCAGGAAGCACACGGCCAGGTGCCACTCGCCCTCGCTCCCCCGGCAGCGGGCCAGCAGCAGCGGCAGCGGCACGAAGAGGGTGAGGACCAGGGCCCCGTACACGCCGAGCCGGGCCAGGGCCAGGGCGCCCCGCGGCAGCCCCAGGGCCCCCAGCTCGGGGAACCGGTGGCACTGCAGGCAGCCCGCGCTCTCGTTCCACAGGCAGAAGTTGTGGAAGCCGATCCTCAGGTCGGGCAGGTGGATGAGGTCGCCCGCCTCCCAGAGGAGAGCGTAGAACAGCAGGAAGGTGGCGGCGGCCGCGAGGCCCAGGATGCTCAGGAACAGCGGCCGGCCGCCCCGCCCGGGTCTGGGCAGGCTCATCTTCTCTGCAGCTGGGCAGGGCCGCCCTCCAGGGAACCTGCGGGAAGTCACATCAGTGAGGGTCCAGCTCCCTTCCTCCCTCCCAGTTTCTTCCCGTCAGGAATATTCCATGGCAAACCCCCACCCTCTCCTGTGCTGCCGCCTCCAAGGAATGCGAGGCAACTTGCCCCCAGGACAGGCTCTCCGGGCAGCCTGAGCGCCTCCGGCAGGCAGCCTGTGCACAAGCCCCCGAAGACACACGCCGTTATTGGGAAGGAAGAGGCGGACGCTGAGGGTCCTGGCGACGCCTCAGGACCACACGGGAGCTGTAAGGGTGACCATCCGCGGCCACAAGCCAGTGAACTCAGAACTGGGGCTGGGGCAGGCGCTGGCGTTCTCAGCTCGGCCGTTGCTGGCTGAGCAGGCTGAGGACCGCCAGATCCCTGGGCTAAGACTCCCTGCCGCCTGGCGATGAAACCACATCATTTTAGAAACACCTCAGTGTTCTCCCCCGACAACACTAATATATGTTGATTACTTTTTTAAATCTTGAAAAGTATTTAAAAGAAAAAAATATAAAAACAACCTGATAGATGAAATAGAGAGGGTAGACCGGAGATGCGGATGGCAGGACGCACACAGGCTGTATTGGAGGGAAGAGTACCCCTGCCGGCTGCTTCCACTTCCGCGGAGAGGGGCGGAAGAGGGCGAGCGCTGGGCGTGCAAGCACCTTTAAGGATAGGGTGCGGGGCTTAGGGCACTCAGCACACGCTGATTGGTGATTAGGGACCTAGTGATTTAGGAATCGGGGGCTGAGGGTATTTGGCAGGTGCTGGTTGGTGTCTTCAGACAGAGCTCAGGAATGTGGTGGTTCAAACAGAGCTGCAGGTAGGATTTACATCTGTTCATCAACTGGAAGAAGGGAGGATCTATCACAACCTTGCCCTAATGGGTTTGCTCAGTGGATATAGCATCAGCCTGCGGACTCAAGGGTCCCAGGTTCGATTCCGGTCGAGGGCATGTACCTTGGTTGCCAGCACATACCCATTAGGGAGTGTGCAGGAGGCAGCTGATGTTTCTGACTCTATCCCTCTCCCTTCCTCTCTGTAAAAAAAAAAAAATCAATAAAATATATATTTTTAAAAATAAAAACCTTTCCCCCACCACATATGGTAGAACCACTGTTAATCTACCAATATTCAGTATTAGTAAATAATCATACTATTAAGCATAATGCTTTTCTTACTGGATAATTAGGCACATTTTTCAAAGCTGTTTAATATTCTTCAAAAACATGGTAAATAAATCACGTCATAGATTTACCCATTGCACTATTATTGGACAAATAGTTTTCATTTTTCACCATTATAATCGAAGTCAAGGTAAGTGCTAATCATGTAACAGTGCAATTGCTGCGTCAAGGGGAGAATCCTCTTCAGCGATGTTATTGCGTATTGCCAAACTGACCTACAGAAAACCTGCCTAACCCGCCTCACCATTTTTGAAAAATCCTTTCACTACGTTTTTAAATCAGTAGAACTTTCCCCCAATCGGCATCTAAAAGAGTCTGCACACTATATAATTTTTCCAACACGGGACAAAACCGCCCTTTACACAGTGAAGTGCCCAGAAACCAGTGCTGGAAGCCCGCCAGCCAGGATGACAAGGTCAAACGCAGAGGGGCGTCCAGCAGTGGAGTGAGCAGTGGCCATTGGTGGCCCTGGGGAGGCCCCGAGACAGCCCTGGAGATGAACTTCTGAAGGGACGGACCCTCAGGGAGCAAGCCCTCTGCTAGAGGGGACAGGAGGGTCCTGGCCACACCCACGTCTGCTCTGTAAGAGCTGAAAGGGAGCAGCTGGAGAAGAGCAGTCCGAAGGAGCAGGTTGTGGGACAGGCAGAGGGAGAGGCGGCTGCTGTCACAGAATACCACAGACTGGGCGGCTTATAAAGAACAGAGATTGATTCCTTACGGTTCTGGAGGCTGGATGTCCAAGCTCAAGGTGCCTGCAGACTGAGTCTGGTGCAGCCCACTTGCTGGTTCAGAGATGACACCTCTGTTCTCTCCGTGAGAACAGAGGAGCTAGCTCCCTGGGACCTTTTTATAACAATCTTGAGGGCCCCACCCTGGTGACCTAATCATCTCACTAAGGCCCCACCTCCTAAATCATGTTGGAGATTAGGTTTCAACAAATATGGGGGGGTGGGGGGGTGGGTAGGGATGGGGGGATACACACAAACAGTCTGGCAGGGGTTCCATTCAAAAGACCTAAGTGCATGCAAACAATGAGGTTTATTCGCGGCTCCCAGGACAGAGACCCAGGGAGTGCCTGGGGGTGAGGCAGGTGCCTGTTAGGACAGGAACCTACCCCTGAGCACACAGGGCAGGCTGACTCCACGCTGCCTGACCACCTACGGTCTGGCATCTCCTGTGGGGGGGGGGGGGGCTCGGCCCTGGGGGCGGGGGCCGGCTCCAGGAAGCCTGGGGAGCTGCCCCTGCAGCCACTATCCTCCATCTCCGGAGGCCTGGGTGAGTGAAACGGAGAAGCTGAAGGCCCCTTTGAAGGCGGTCGGGAGATTCCTGCAGCGATGACGCCTGCTACAGATTTATCAGGGATGAAAATGGTATGTCTAGTCCACACGTGATCAGACTGAGATAACAGGACTTTCAACCAGTTTAGGGCCCACCAGGGAGAAATTCCCAGCAGGGACATAGTTTGCATATTTGACATGTCTGCATAGCCTCTCTCTGTGCGTTCAGTGAAGTTAGAGACTTGGGGGGAAAAACAGGTTTCTAGGACTGGAACCCCTCACAACCATCACGGCGCTGCAGGAAATACGGTTGGACTTGCCTCCCTTGTCCAGAGACCAACAGGCTGGGACTTGTCTTTGTATAAATGCTCCTTAAAAAAAAAAAAAAATATATATATATATATATATATATATATATATATATATATATTATATATTTTTTATTTTTTTTTACTGATTTTTTTTTTTTACTGATTTTTCATAGAGAGGAAGAGAGAGGGATAGAGAGTTTGAAACATTGATGAAAGAGAAACATCCATCAGCTGCCTCTTGCACACCCCTATTGGGGACGTGCCCGCAACCAAGGTACATGCCCTTGACCGGAATCAAACCAGGGACCTATCAGTCCCCAGGCTGACACTCTATCCACTGAGCCAAACCAGTTTTGGCTATAAATACTCCTTGTTCCTCTGACATTGAGCCCATTGCATGTGGGTCCAAAGAAAAGTCTCTGTTAAACTTGTCTTGAAAACAAGGCTCCCTCGAAAAAGGACCCTAGGGGTGAGAGGGCAGGGCAGGGCGAGGACAAACTCTTGACTCCACTGTGGGGCAGAGTTATCCTCCATTTTGTAACTGAACCCTAGCCCTCACCCAACCAATCAGGGTTAGCCCAGGCAGTGACAGCACCACCGACCAGAGTAAAACCCCTGGGCTGGGCGAAATTTGCTCTCTCTTCCACCATGCTGCCGGCATGAGTGGGACAGAGCCCGTGTTAGCATGGAAAAGGCTCTTTTGTTTATTGCATCGGACTCGGCTCCCTGGTGGTCCTTGGGGATCACGAAGTCTGGGTGTAACAGGGGACTCCTCCAGCCCTTTGTTTCCGACTTCCTGTTTTCCTCTCACTGACCTTTTGGAGGTTTTCAATAGAGCAAAAACAAAACAAAAGCACTAAGGAGCCCCTGATCGGTGGAGAAGGAGTTGAGTCCCAGCTCAGCCGGTGGAGAAGGAGTTGAGTCCCAGCTCAGCCGGTGGAGAAGGAGTTGAGTCCCAGCTCAGCGGCCTGGGGCTCTCCACCGTCAGGCCTGACTCAGACCTTGAACTTGGAATTCTCCAGTGAGGCCCTGCTCCCTTGGGGCTTCCAGTCTTGCTTTGCTTAATTCAGCATTTCTCTCAGGCTGTCCTTGTTCTGGTCTGCCCAACTCCTGAAGGCCTGGCCTGTTTGCTGGCAGGCCTGACAGGCCGTGTGACCCCGAGCAGCCGCACAGGATGGCCTGACCACACATTCCCAGCGCGGCGGGTCATGTGGCCAACCACTTCCAGAACTACGGCTTCCCTAGCAAGCCCGTCTTCACCTCAGGTGACCTCTGTTCTCAGCATCTAGGATGGCATCCCTGTCCAAAGCCCGAGGAGCTCCCTTCCCCAGACCCCACGGAGCACCGGCCACAGCGCCCCTCGTCAGCTCGCTCCTTGCACACCACCTGTGTGCTGTCAGTGTTAACGATTAGCTGCCCTGTGCCCGCAGCGGAACAGAAATGTGTGTTTCTCCATTTTGTCTTTTGTCCAAACCCAGAGATTTTCCCGCTTTGTTCTCTCCCACCTGCCTTCTTAATCTACCTCCAATGGATTTCATGCACCTTTTCTTCCATCTCCTCCTTTGATTCTGATGTATAGAAGAAACGGCAAAACTTTCTCTGGAGCCATGGTCGGCAAACTGTGGTTTGAGAGCCACATGCGGCTCTTTGGCCCCTTGAGTGTGGCTCTTCCACAAAATACCACGGCCTGGGGAAGTCTGTTTTGAAGAAGTGGCCTTAGAAGAAGTTGAAGTTTAAAAACGTTGGCTCTCCAAAGAAATGTCAATCGACATGCTGCTGATATTTGGCTCTGTGGACTAATGAGTTTGCCGACCGCTGCTCTGGTGCATTTGAGAGCTTGTTTTCTGGCATATGTCGTCACTTTGGCTCAAATGATAAAAATTCTCCACAGATTTGAACACTTCTTCTGTGGACACCTTCCACCAGCAGCTGAGAGAATGCCGATTCTCCCATGATTCCCAGCCCTGGGCATTCTCCAGTCTTTTCATCTTTGATAAAGACAGTGACAGCATCGTCACCATTTCTCTTTCACGAGTCAAGCTCTACATTTTCCAAGTGTCTGCTGGTCGCTTATAATTTTTCTCTTGTGACGAGCTCTCAGTTCCCTTGTGTGTCTTTTTCTTATCATTTCGAGTTTTGGTTTTTGCTTCTCCGTCTGTATGAGCCCCTTTATAAATAAAG